CTCCCCCCTAACCTCTCTGAAAAAAAATAATGAAAGGAATAATGGGGAGAGAGAGAAGGGGTTATGGTTGTCTACTTGGAACTGTACTGACAGCAAGTGTTAAATCTGTTTTCTTTAATAATTTTTTAAAGATTTATTTTTGAAAGGGAAGGTTACAAAGAGGCAAAAGCAGAGACAGAGAAGAGAGAGAGAGAGAGAGAGAGAGAGAGAGAGAGAGGTCTTCCATCCACTGTTTCACTCCCCAAATGGACACAATGGCTGGAGCTGAGCTGATCCAAAGCCAGGATCCAGGCCATCCTCTGCTCCCTTCCCAGGTGTATTAGCAGGAAGCTGTAACAGAGTGGTGCGCCAGGACTTAAACCTGCACCCATTTGGGATGGCAGCAATGCAGGCAGCGACTTTATCTGCTATACCACAGGGATTGCCCCCATAAAAATTTTTAAAAGAATATTTACTTCTATCTTTTGCCAGACATTTCTGGAGTTTTTATTTGCATACATTTCTGGAGTTTTATTTGTCTTTTAATTTTAATTAATATGTGATTTATGATTTTTGACTTTCAAGATTACTGTCTTTTTTATTTTATCTCACGTTCCTTTGCAGTTTTTGCATGTGATCTGTACAGCAAGAACTCTTCCTCCTTCAATCAAATAAATATAAATGTCCCTCAATATTTGTTAAGAAATTCTAGATTTTGTTTTACTTTTGAAGATTTAAAATGTCTAGACTACTGCTTATATTAGATAGGAAGTAGGAATCCATGACCCACCCACCTTTTTCACAACCACTGCTCTGGCTGCCTTTAATTAGTACACGATGTCCAAGTGCCAGAACAAGTTGTGTAACTGCATCAGGGCACTTCCGTGTGCTGGATCAAAACTGCCTATCTGTGAGCTTCTTCATCCTTGCAGTGGAAGCAAGGGCAAAGAACAGCACACGGCTTTTCTCAAGTACATGTTCCCCTCTTCTACCAGAATCATTCACAATGTTTGCCGACTATATATTTTTGATGATTTTATTCATTTCTCAGATTAAAGGTATGTCTTAAAATTTTTATCAGGTATTTCTTACTATGCTTAGAAATAATGTCTCTTTTGTCATAAATTGTAAATGATAAAAAAGTCACTACACAGTGGTGATTTTGCTAAGTACATAGCATAAGACATTGTCTAAATTATAGCAAATCACGAGATTTCTGTGATTCTCTGGATTTTCACCCAACTCTTAAAGAGGCAGACCCACAGTGAGAAGAAGGAAGGAGTGGACCTTAATGGGATACTTACAACATAGCAGGCACAGTGCTAGCCAGGGGCCACTTTGTAGATTATAATTTAATATTGATATTTCCACTTTAGTGATAGCGAGAATGAAACTAATATTAGATCCAAGATTTAAATATGCTACTTGCAGTCATACAACCCATAGCTATTAAAACCTATATCTCAATCAGGGCATATTAGATCTCTCTTCCTTGGTCTTGAAGGATCAAACCTCATTGGAGAGGGATCACCTCCCAGAGAAATACCAATGTGATAGGACAGGAGATAAAATTGCATTTAGTTTGGACTCAGAGCTGTGTAAAACTCTTTAACAAGTAGATGCCTTATACTTAACTATGAAAGCCAGACTTCAAATGAAAATGTCCTCTGAAAAGAAAATTTTATAACATACATGGAAACAGATAATTCCAATACAAGCTTTGACAAAGGCAAAATCCAGAAACAGGCACACAGAGAATAAGATGACAAAGATGACAACTGTAGAACAAAGTGAAAATATGGAACAACCAAAAAAAATACTGATGTCTTTGCCTCCTTTTTAATTTTGCATATGTTTTACTGATTTTTAAATATCAGTCTCAGTTTCCTTGCTTGTAGAGGGGAATGGGGTTGGTAATTCAGTGATAGTGTACCTGGAGGCTAATTGGAAACAAGTGAACGGTATTGAAAACAGTTCCATTTTTCAGTCACTATGCATGAATGTTAACATCCGATGGATTTTTTTCCTGTTATGTTTCTTTCAGAAGATGTAATCCCTGGAGCAGAGGGCCAAGAATTGGTTTATCCTAAAAAACTTCCTCTCATACAGAAACGAGATGTTGGGCACGCCCATGATTATGACATATCGGTACAGATTTTGATTTTGTAAATCAGATTTGTTGCTACCATGGGATTTGCAGAAGCTGCTCTTGACCCCTCCAAATAGCAGAGGAAGAGAAGAGAGTCAATGTTTCTGAGGATGCCCTTTAGCTTACAGCAGGAGTGAGGGGATGAGCAAAAGGAAGCAAAAGGAGTAAAATTGAGGTCATCGGGGTGCCATTTTATGTGTTGAAGATTGTATGAGGAGTTCTATCAACAGCTTTCCTGGCTGAATTCAAGAAACTTCATTTGTTCTGATCTGGAGCCCCTGGAATATAATCTCAAACATTTATCTTGCTTTCTCATAGATTTGATATGGAGGTTTCTTTACTGTAGAGATACTGCATCAAAATTGGACAACTTTTACAGGAACAAAAAGACCTGCTTTATTGCTTAGCGAGTGCTTATTTCTGCTTTAAAAGCTAAAATTATTTAAAATAATTTTCAAAAGTAATGGATGTATATTGAAGAAAATAGTTAATATACATGAGTGAACAAGCTTCAAAATGAAGTTATTTTCTATTCCCTTTGTTGCAAAGGACCATAGATAAATGTCCTCAGTGGGTTATCATTAGTTATCGTATTTGACTTGCAATATAAGCCTTAAAGTTTTTAAAATATTTTTTATTTACCTAAGCTGAGCAAATTTAATGCATTTCATATATACAGATTGAGGAGCACAGTGATACTTCCCACCCATTGTAAAAATTAAATGAAAGAATAAGAAAGGAAAGAGGGATGGTGGAAGCCTTAAGTTTTAAATTTGGTTCTTGGAAAATACCGACAGGCCCTTTGCCTCAATCTGCTACGGAAGTGCAACCCTTTCCAAAAGCAACAGCTTTCTTTCCTTTTACCATTAGAGCAGCCACTGTTCCAGGTCTTCACTTCTCAGTCTGTCATAAGTAAGATATATTTTAGCTTTACAAATGGTACTACAGAGAATTTTTTTTTCCTGTAAGTTGAGAGAAAAAAAGAACTCAACACTCATTTCAGTTAGAAAATCATGTTTATGTTCCTTTACTGTTTTTGAGAATGATATTTTGCTTCATCTCCACCTCTTTTCCAACCTTTCAAACATTTGTATTAATTGAAGATTGGTACTCAGTCACAGGCACAAAAACTATCATGTGGAAGCTGGTGGCCTCTTCTGGAAACTATTGTCCTGAGACAATAAAATAAAGTTAAATGTCCAAACAAGCAGCTAAGACATTGCTTGGAATGCCTGAAACCCATATTGGAGTTCCATTTCCAGCTTCCTTCTCAATTCCAGCTTCCGGCTAGTTTGTACCCAAGGGAGACAACAGATAATGGCTTATGTAATTGGGTTCATGCCACCCATGTGGGATATCTGGATTGAGTTTGTGGCTCCTGGTTTTGTCTTGGCCGAGACTTGGCTGTTGCAGACATTCGGGGAGTGAATCAACAGAGGCGAGCTGCATCTCTATTTCTTTCTCTCTGGCTCTTAAATAAATTTCTTGAAAATAAAAAATCAATACCCATGGTTATCCATTTAAATAATTTATCACAAGTTCTCATTGGTTTTTGAAAGACTTTTATTATAGACAATGTCTGTTACCGGTAAGAAGCCAAGGAAACAGGACCAGTCATAAATTACTGGTGAAGTTCTAAACTTGTACTTTGTTCAGGATATTTTGATAATATTCAGCAAAAGTCATATATTTTTTCCATTCATTAGCAGTATAAACACTAACTTTAGTGAACTCCTGAAACCAAGTTTCTGATTGCAATGTTGATTAAATAAATGAAATTTCATTTTAAAAAATATTTATTTATTTATTTGAAAGAGAAAGAGAGAGTTACTCCAACCACTGGTTCACTCCCCAAATGGCTGCAATGGCTGGAGCTGTGACAATCCAAAGCTGGGAGCTAGGAGCTTCCTCCAGGTCTCCCATGTGGGTGCAGAAGCCCAAAAACTTGGGTCATCTTCCGCTGCTTTCCCAGGCCACAGCAGAGAGCTGGATTGGAAGTGGAGCAGCCGGGACTCGAACTGGCACCCATATGGGATGCCAGCAGTGTAGGAGGAGGCTTTACCTGCGATGCCACAGAGCTGGCCCCTCATTTATGTTGTTTTGCAGCCATATATTACAGCAACAGGATAACATTCATCAGAATAGTAAATAGTCATGATTTATTAAGTGAAAAAGTAGACTATGGGGCATTATATACAAATTGTTTGTTTTTTTTAAACAGAATATCTGTATGTGACAGTTGCTATACAGCCATAGAATAAGTTATATTTCCTTAAGAAAGGCAAGAATGTACATTTTTCACTTTGTTTTATAACAAAAAATCTCCTTTAAAATTGTTTAATTTAAAAATAACAAAGGGTGGGCATCATGGCACAGCAGGTTGAGCTGACGCCTGGGATGCCAGCATCCCATATGAATGCCAGTTCAAGTACCAGGCATCTTGCTTCCACTTCAGCTCCCAGTTAATGGGCCTGGGAAGACAGTCGAAGATGGCCTAAGTACTTAGAATGCTGCCACCCACTTGGGAGACCTGGATTGAGTTCTATGTTCCTGTTCTTCCTGGCCCATCCCAAGGTGTGGTGGCTATTTAGGGAGTGAACCAATGGATGGAATCAATCAATCTTACCACCCCTTTTGTCTCTCCTTATCTCTCTGTGATTCTGCCTTTCAAATAAAAAAATCTTAACAACTTGAGTAAAATCCTTTTTGTAACACTTGCTATTAGCATTTATCATTTTGCCTGAAAGGACTGCTGAGTAGCCTGTAGGAGGTGGGTAATGTCCCCCTTCAGCTACCCCCTCCCCACCACCAGGACACACTAAATGGGTACATGATGATGTCACATGTTGCATGTTGGATCTTTTTTTTTTAGGAACTGTATGAAGAGGAATTGTTATATGAAATAAAACTAAATAGAAAATCTTTACTCCTTCACCTTCTAAGATCAAGGTCAGTTCTATTGTGATTTAATGCCTTATAGGTTTTATAGTCTATGGTATCCCAGTTTTCCTTACCTACCAGTAAAGTGAATTCCTCAAGTCACTGTTATTCACATGTGTGTGTTATATGGTTTATTCTTTGTTGAAGACAAGCCCTCTGCATTGCTACAGCTTAAAGACAATTATAGACACTGTTTGCTAGCACCAGAATTATACCTATGGATACTTAGGGTTCTTTGAGCTCCATATAGTCACTCTGATCACCACCTTTTGAATCAGTGGGACAAAATACATTAGAAAAAATGTTTTTTTAAAGGGACTTGTAAACTGTTTAAAATAATCTTAAATAAGGAACCAGGTTGGTTGGGAGAGTAAATTAAGTGCTGGAAAGAATTTTTTTTATCACAACATCTTGTATAGCTACATAGTCCTAACACCCTTAGCTTTCTTCATTAGCCTGCATCAGAACAATCTCTGTTGCTACTGTTTAATTTCTATTGTTTACCTTTCAGCTATTTCTATACCTAATAGCTCTGTCTCTGAGCCACAAGCAAAATTATAAGCAGTTGTCAAATATTAAGAAGAATAGAAGGTAATACTATTCTTTCCATTCTTCTTAGAGAATTGAGATTGATCTATTAGTTAAACACAAAAACCTCTCATGTTTCTGAATTCTACATAAGTATACAGAAACAGAGCAGGTTTAATGCCTTTACCATATGGATAATATATTGAGACTCTACATTTTTTAACATTCTCCAAGAAAGCTAGCATTTACTGAGCCATCACTGAGACCTCTCCATGTGCATTTCCTCAAAATAATTTCTTAATTCCTACAACAACCACATTAAGTATTGTGTTAAGTTCCACTTTGAGGTGGACAAATCATAAATACACTAAATCAGTGGCTTATGTGGGGTCACAATGCTCATAAGAATGATATGGCTGATGCTCCAACTTAGATCTTCCAGCTTTCAAAATTAGCTCAAGCTAGGATATAATGTTTTGCATACTTATTGAGGTGCTGGTCATTTTTAAACGTATGCTTTCATTTCTCTTGTGAACACAAAAGAGTAAAATTCCTGGGTCATAAGTTATGTATATATTCAACTTTATAAAATTTTGCCAGAGCGTTTTCAAAAGTTGTTACGGCTGGCACCGCGGCTCACTAGGCTAATCCTCTGCCTGCAGTGCTGGCACCCAGGTTCTAGTCCCGGTTGGAGCACCGGATTCTGTCCCGGTTGCTCCTCTTCTGGTCCAGCTCTCTGCTGTGGCCCAGGATGGCAATGGAGGATGGCCCAAGTGCTTGGGCCCTGCACCCGCATGGGAGACCAGGAGGAAGCACCTAGCTCCTGGCTTCGGATCAGTCCAGCACTGGCCGTAGTGGCCATTAGGGGAGTGAACCAACGGAAGGAAGACCTTACTCTCTGTCTCTCTTTCTCTCACTAACTGTGCCTGTCAAAAAAAAAAAAAAAAAGAAAGAAAGAAAAGAAATGTTGTTACACAACTTCATATAAGTACCAGCAATATATGAATAGTAGTAGTTTCATATTATTCAACTTTAGAGGTATTACTCTTTCTAATTTTATCTATACTAATGGGTTTGTGATATTTCATTGTGATTATATTTATTTCTTATTGAATTTTTCCTTCATTTGTTGGCCATTTGTGTAACTTCTGTTTTTTTAAATATCATTTTCATTGTGCTAATAGACATATAATCATTGAATTGAAGAAGATCTTTATGTGATTGGAAGGTCAGCCCTTTGCAAATTTAGCTCCTTTTAAGGTTTCATTCTTGCCTGTGGCTTTTTCATTAATTTTGTTAATTTTGCCTTTTTATTTAATTTTTTAAATTTTTATTTATTTTTAAGGTAAACAAATTTCATATATACAGATTTAGGAACATAGTGATACTTCCCATTCTACCTCCACTCCCTCCCACCCTCCCTCTTCCTTCTGTTCATATTCTTTTTTTTATTTTTACAATGATATTCTTTCAGTTTATTTTATAGTCATAACATTAACCCTACAGTAAGTAAAAAATCCAACAAATAGTAAAAAGAAAAAAAAAAAACACTGTTCTTCAACAGTAGAGACAAGGGCTATAAACAATCATCAAATCTGAAAATGTTGGTTTTGCTCATATACATTACATTTTTGCTATCCTATTACTTACCACAGATCAGGGAAAACATATATTTGTCTTTTTGAATTGGGCTTATTTCACTAAGTATAATGATTTCTAGTTGCATCCATTTTATTGTGAAAGACAGGATTTCATTCTTTTTATGGCTGAGTAGTATTCCATAGTGCATATATGCCACATTTTCTTTAATCATTGATAGCTGGACATCTGGATTGAGTCCAGCTATTGTGAATTGAGCTGCTAAGAACAAGGTGGTACAGATAACCTTTCACATGCTGATATCCTTTTGTTTGGGTATATCTCCAGAAATGGGATTGCTGGGTCATCTAGTAGATCTGTTTTCAGATTTCTGAGGTATCTCAATACAATGGCTGTACTAGGACACCTTCCCACCAGCAGAGTATTAAGGTTACCTTTTTCCCCAGGACCTCACCAGCATGTATTGTTTTTTGATTTCTGTATGGGAGCCACTCTAACTGGGGTGGAGCAAAACTTCACTGTTATTTTAATATGCATTTCCCTGATAAATAGTAATCCTGAGCATTTTTTCATGTGTCTGTTTACCATCTGAATTTCCCTTTTGAAAAATGCCTGTTCAAGTCCTTTGCCTATTTCTTAACTGGATTGTTTGTTCTGCTGTTGTTGAATTTCTTGAGCTCTGTATAGATTCTGGATATTAACCTTTTATAAGTTCCATAATTTGCAAATATTTTCTCTCATCTTTTTGTTGTCTCTCAGTTTGCTATTTCTTTTGCAGAGCAGAAGCTACTGAGCTTGATGTAATCCCATTTGTCAATTTTGGCTTTGTTTGCCTGTATGTCTAGGGTCTTTTTCAAGAAGTCTTTGCCTATGCCAATGTCTTGCAGAGTTTCCTCAATGTCCTCCTCCAGTAATTTGATGGTATCTGGTCAGAGATTTAGGTTCTTGATCCATTTTGAGTGGATTTTTGTATAAGGTATAAGGTAGGCATCTTGTTTCATACTTCTGTATGTGGAGATTCAATTTTCCCAGCACCATTTAATGGAGACTGTCCTTTCTCTAGGGACTTATTTTAGCTCTATTGTCAAAGTTTAGCTAGTCGTAGATGTGTGGTTTGACTTCTGGGATTTCTATTCTGTTCCATCTGTTCTTACAGTTTGTTAATATGTATCACATTTATTGATTTGCATATCTTAAACCATATCTGCAAACCAGGAATAAATCTCATTTTGTCCAGGTGAATAATCTTTATGATGTGATATTGGATTTGATAAGCTAGTATTTTGTTGAAGTTTTTTTGCATCAATATTCATCAGTGATACTGGTCTGTAGATCTTTTTCATTGTATCTTTTTCTTGTTTTGGATTTAAGATGATGCTGGGCTCATGGAATGAGCTTGGGGGCTTTCCTCCATTTCAGTTGCTTTGAATAGTTTGAGAAGTGGATTTAGTTTTTCTTTAAAAGTTTGGTAGAATTCAGCAGTGGAGTCATCTGATCCTCAGGTTTTCATTGAGGGGAGGATCTTTATAACTGATTGAATCACCATCTTGATATTGATCTGTTTAGGTGTTCTGTGTTTTCATGACTCAATTGTATATTGTATGTATGAGAATCTATCCATTTCTTCTAGATTTTCCAATTTGTTTGCATATTTCTGTTGTAGTAATTCCTGATGATTCTTTTTATTTCTGTGGTATCTGTTCCATTTCCTTTTGTATCTCTGATCTTATTGATTTGGGTCTTTTCCCTCTTTTTTTGGTTAGTTGGGCAAGTGGTCTACCAATATTTTTTTTTTTTTATTTTTCAATGAACAAGGTTTTCTTTTTTCTTTTCACTGATCATTTGCCCTGTGTGCTTGGTTTCAATTTTGTTTCCCTCTAAACATTGCTTTTCTGTATCCTATAAGTTTTGATATTTTATATTGGCATATTTTCATTCATTTCCTGGAATATTCTATTTCCCTCTTGTTTTCTTATATGACCCATTGTTCATTTTAGGAGCATGTTGTTCAGTCTCTATGTGTTTGTATATTTTCTAGAGATCCTTAAATTGTTAGTTTCTAGCTTCACTCCATTGTGATGAGAAAAGATACATGGTATCTTTTTTTAAATTTTTAAAAAATTGTTGAGACTTACTGTAGCCTAGAATATGGTGTGTCCTGGAGAAAGTTCCATGCACTGATGAAAAGAACATGTATTCTTCAACTGTGTGATGAAATGTTCTATAGATATAAGTTAGATCCACTTGGCCCATAGTGTAGAAGAGCTCTGTTGCGTCTTTGCTGATTTTCTGTCTAGTTGATCTGTCTATTGATGAAAGTGGGATGTTAAAATCCTCATTACTATTGTATTGGAGTCTGTCTCCACTTGGATCTACTAAAAATTGTTTTAAATAGTGAGGTACCCTAGCATTGGGTGCATATATATTTATTATAATCACACCTTCCTGTTGAATTGATCTCCTAATCATTACATAGTCTCCTTGTCTCTCTTAACAGTTTTTGTGTTAAAGTCTATTGTCTGATATTAGGATGTCTATACCTGCTCATTTTTGCTTTCTGTGTGCATGGAATATCTTTTCCATTTTCACTTTTAGTCTTGTGTATCTTTGTTGGAGAGATGTGTTTCTTGTAGACAGCAGATAGATGAGTTTTGTTTTTTAATCCATTCAGCCAGTCTATCTTTTAATTGGAGAATTTAGGCCATTTACATTCAGAGTTACTTTTGGTAAGTAATGGTGCTGCCGTTTTTCCATAAATGTCACTATTTTTTACTTTGAATTTCCTTTGTAGTCTTAATAGATTTTCTGCCTTCACATTATTTCATAATGATGACTATGTTTTTGTGTATCACACATCATTAAATATCATTTGTAAGTCTGGA